TACGTCAACAGCTGGGAAATGGCGAAGTCGACTTAGTAACAGTCTATTATAGATACCACCATGGAAACCGCACTGCCAGAATTGTGTATTACGGGACCAGTGGTCATGGGGGCCATACGGATGAGGCACTGTGGAGGCGCAGAAGAGAAAATTAAAGAAATACACATATCAAACAAAGCAGGAAATAGTAGATAAAATTATTATAAACGCTGATATATAGCGGCAAAAACGTGCGATAATTGAAAAACAAATAAATAAAATAAATACTATTGTTACTAAAAGTTAGAGAGTAACAACTATTTCGCCTTGAACACATACCAAATTAGGATTCCAATTAGCTCGCAAACGAGGTATCAACCAGGATGGGTACATCCTGAAACAGATCGGTGTACAGTTACCCACTATTGTATAGATCCGATCACAAACCGACAACACGGCGGACCCGTGGCTTAAGGGTTAGAGCGTTCGCCTCTGGTCGGAGAGACGCGAGTTCGAAACTCGAATGTGGCTGCAATTTCCGCTACTGCACTGGAGTTGAGCTACCACCACCTGATGGCGCCCAATGAGGCAGATAAGCGCTTCGTGGCTGTGCTCTGTGTTTGTCGGTAAAATATCAAATCTAAATTACCAATACCGTCCGTCACGTATTACAGAATTCTGGGGTTAGGCTTCCGTAGTAAGCCGTCTACTAGACTGTTACGGTCGGCATATTTTGAGGGTCGAGTTCAATGCCTCCCGCCTTTATCTGCAGAGATACCTGGGCTTTTAAATTTTTCGTGTATTAGCAGATGATTGATCTGAAATTGTTGTAACTGCTCGATTGGTCGACGGCGGGGAATTAGCGTTTGCCAGACTGCAAGGTTTTTCACCACAGCATACCGGCCAGCCGACGATATCATGTTAGAAATGACCGCCTTCGTCTACCGTGTCTTCTTTCATGTCGCCGAGAAGTGATTGTGCTGTGAGCAATACAATCATTAGCTCGCACACTGGGTTGTTGAAGAAGACAGAAGTCACCAGAATGCGGGCTCTACTATGCATGGAAGTACGAGTTGCTGTCTCAGGCAGCGGTGGTGACTGGAAAAGCCAGGGCTATTATCAGCTCGAATGCCGGCACTTAAGAATGCGTGAACTCGCTCGAGATGGGATTTGGAGGGGAGACGAAGTAAATGTGTCGGAGTATGGATGCATCTCAGGACTAATGAGTCCATCAACTTAGGATGCCGAACGCAGATAGCAGCGGGTTAAGTTATTGAGGAAAATCCCAGCCACTGCGACCTTCAGGCCCGGTTCCGTGTGCAAAGAGAAGTTGGATGTCAGGTTAGTATACAGAGTTAGAGGAGAATAGGTTGGAGGAAGTTGACTGTCTGACGAGCGCACATCCGCCACCAGAGGCCGCAGTCGCCACGGAAGTCTGGCGTGAGGCAGTCTCGAAGGTGATTGGCCAGACCGGATTAAGGTAGACATACACTGGTGAGTGCGCACGTGCTAGCAACCGCGAGAGGCGAGCGTTGCGCGCGCGCAGTGGGATCACTAGAGGCAGGCCAGCGCCCGTCAAGGAAGTTAGTGCTAGCGTGCTGTAGTTAAACCGTACACCGAACAGAACGTCTACAGACTCCTTTATTGGGCTGACCGTTGAGGAGGAAGAGGAGGACATTGTTGGCTATGGCAACGACCATCCTTTAAGCTGCGCCCTGGTCCTCCATCAGTGTAGCGCATCACACGTGATTTAAAGCTCTTCTTACCTGTGGGCTATACGTTTTTTCCGGCCTTGTTTGCATTGGTCGAAGGGAAAATTATCCCGTCACCATTGCGTGACTGATATTTAGCCGATAACTTTTATTTTTACCACATGCCAGCATGGTGGTAAGGGATGCATTATATAACCCCCTGGAGAGGACAGGAGAACAAGAACCACCCACATTCCAGGAAAAATAAGATTAGTTTTATGGCTAGGGTCAGGGTTGAATTGAGGATTAGATTAAGTTCAGGTAGGGTTAATGTTAACTACAGAGTTAGGCTATGGTTTAGGTTCATTTTTGGGGTAGTGTTATGGTCGCCGGGCCGCCTTTTTTTACGGGGCGGGGCATTCCTATTCCCGTGTCTTGTTGGTGGGGGGGGCATATACGTCATCTCTATTAGTGTCGTTTCTCACGCGCCCCGAAGAAACGTTAAAAAAGGCGTATAAACATTTTATTACGGAAGCAGGGGATTACTGGTGCGCCGAAAGCAGGCTTTTGATGGCCCGGCCCCATCGTTTGAGCAACAACAAAGTGCCCATTTTATCCGTGTCCCTACAGCCAATAAACGTGTGGTGTTATGTTGGCCTAAGTATGCGGGTGGGATATTTAGCCTATGGCTGCTCGAGTTGTTATCACAGGACAGAGCTCCAATCACGTAGTCGCACCTCGCGTCCTTGCCCTCCCCCCCACTCGTCTTCCAGCCTAGGGGAGGAGGGGCGCGGGGGAGTGTAGGCATCAAGCTGAGACACGACCCAGCAGCCGGACACAAAAAGCTGCCTCGGCTCGTAAAATCCTATCCGCGTTGTAGGAAGTTAGCGTCACGAGCCTTGGCGCCCGCACATAACTTTTCAAAAGGAGGTTAAAATCCACAACCGTGCTAGAAAAAAAGACAAGGGCTGAGAGAGCTAAAATAACTTTTGGTTCAGATGCAAAACGGTGCCTCTGCTTCACTTTATTGATTCTGGTTTAGTTGGGTTTCAGCTAGCGGGAATCGCAATATCTCATCTTTTGATTATCTAGACGCTGATGACAAAGGGCTAAGGATGACTTATATGGCCCTCTAAGCAGGACATGCTAGCAGACACCGCCCGCAATACGGGTGTTTTTGCGCCAAGTTTTAAGTTTAGTCGATTGCCGTTCACTGATCACTAACGGAACTCCCTCGTCTCGCTCTACGTTGGTACTCATTCCCGAGCCCGCCAGCAGCCACACAGTGGCTAGCATTGCCGGTAAAGACAAGTAAGACTAGAATGGTCATTTCCGGCTCATTAGCCGTCAGTAGCCAGTCATACTCAATTCCAACTGGTGCCCCATCCGAGGATGGATTTTGAGGTAATTTAAGGTTAAGTTTAGAGTCATAGTTAGCCCTAGCTTTAACGGTAGGGTTAGGGTTAATAGTAGGTCTATTTTTAGGGCTAGTATTAGGGTTGGAATACGCGAATCTTTACGCTTTTTGAAATTATGCAGAAGACCACATTTCTTAACTGGGCGAGCCCCTCCTAGTACCTCGTGCTTTTACCTTTCTTTTCTATTTGCATTGCCTTACTTATGAGAAGAAATAGATTTGATCGCTGGGACGACAATTTTATTCGCCTGACGAACTGCTTCTCTCTCTGCTGTTATCTCTGATGAAGGGTCCGCGACGGATTTCGAAACGTCAGATGATTAAAAATTTCGTCCCAGCGATCATATATCAGTCACTATCAGTCAGTATATTTGAAGTAAATGACCGAATCCCTTAAAAACTCCGTTGAAACGTTACAGTTATGCACAAGTTTTTGTGAAATGTGCAAAAGTTTTTACAGATCGCTTTTGTTATGCAAAAGTGCATAGAAATATTTTGGAAATATGAATTGTTAGAAGGTGAGGCGTTTGCAGAATGGCAGCGTACAAAAATTTCACTGTATATCCAGTACGACATATTCCTCTTGTGATCTTTCAGTGTAAATAAAAAACTCTATTGAAACCAAACGAGTAGTATGTTTTTTGTAGTGTTTGTCGTCATTTATGTTAGGTGGCTGTTGGGCTTTAACAGATGATTATCCAAAG